AAAAGAAGTTTTTTCTTGTTCCACCAAAATAGGTGGAACAAGATGTGACAAGAATGGGACAGAAACTGAAATAGTATTGATCTAACCTAGTTCGATATATAACCTTAAGATATTATTTGTTTTAATGGTCATCACTGCTAGTTTCGGTCGTTGCCACCACCGCGGTCATCGACGGCCACCTTCACCTTCTCTTCCACTACACAACATTCTCCACTACCTCCACAACCACCGTCCACCAAGTTCATCTTCACCCTACCATAGTCGACCACCGACCACCACCACCACCATCACCACTACCGTCATTCGCCACCTCCAACTCCTCCTCTACCACAACAACTTCCTTCACCACCATCCATTACCACCTTTACAACCACCGTCGGCCACCGACCACCACCACCCATTACCACTACCACTACCACCGTCGGCCATCTCCAAATCCTTCTATAACACAACAACCTCCTCCATGACCTCCACAACCACCGTTGACAACCGACACCCACTGTCCATTGCCACCTCTACAACCACCATCGATCATCGACCACCATCGTCCATTGCCGCCACCATTACCACCTTGGACACCTCCAACTCCTCCTCTAATACAACAACCTCCTTCACGACCTCCACAACCACCATCAGCCACCACCATTCATTGCCACCTCACCTCCACCATAAACCACCTCTGTCACTATCTTCACTACATCAACCATACCTACCTCCTCCATTGTTGTCAACTGCCACCACCACCAAAATCCACCATAGTCATGTTTTCTATAACCACCGTTGTCCATCAACCACCACTGTCTCTACCTCCATAACCATCGTCGGCCACCGACACCTTCAACATAACCAAGACCACCTCCAACACAACCAGTACTACCATCAACTATATTAAATTTTTCATTCAAATTTGGTACCACTATATATGTACGTATTAATTTATATGAAGATTGTGTGCAAATATTTATGAATTAAGTTCTTTAATCATTTACTTTATTTGTGTTAATAATAAATGTTATATAATATTTAAAATCATCAAATAACTTTTGGGGGTAACTTGTTTAGTTCTGTATCGTCCAGTCCTAGTCGTACCAAACACCATACATACTCTTGTTCTGTCCAGTCATGTCAATTTTGTCATATCTAGTCCTGTCCAATCATGTCTGCGTACCAAACGCTGCATAAAGGATCTCTCTCTCTCTCTCTCTCTATATATATATATATAGTATGTCAAATACGATTCGTGTCATTCATACAACTCATACGACCCAATATGAACCGTCATCTACTCTAATAAATACCTTGCTTAACAAATATTTTTATTCTTTCCTAATGCAAAGCAAAGAAATGGTTTTCATATTTGTTCGTTGTTTTCTCCTTTTAGATGCATCAAGATATAGTGATTAGATAAGCAAAACTGCTCTAGTGACGCAACATTCTTGGTACAATAAGAATCTCTCCATCTTTTCTTTCAAGTCAACTTGACAACAAACAAGTTCTTATGGTTTTGGCTTTTGTTGTGTTATGTTTCCAAAGTGACCATTGTGATGTCCTAAAATGAGACTGAGTTTAATGACTAAAGTCAATTTTGACAGAAATAACTTTCTACATGTTTATCAAGATACAATTATCTTTTATTCCTGATTCACATAAAAACTTTTGTATCATCGCATTATGCTAGATATGGATACCATTTATATGCATGAGTTGGGTTCTGGTGAGAAAGAGGGTTAAAACGAGAAGCGTAAGAAGAGATATCCATCCTTAGATGCACATTAGGATGAGATGTCGATATGAGATACACCATATCAATCCTCATAACAAGCACGATTCATGAATGAGTTTGAGATTAAAGATAATTAATGGTCCAGATTACTTCTTAAACTTCTAATGTTTAACTTTCTTCTCATTATACATATACATAATCGTGCACCCTAAGGGGTTGTTCGGTTCGTTTTTTGTTAAGACATGTATAGATATAGTTGTTTGTATATTAACAGATAAGTTGATGTTCGGTTGTTATGCTAAATAAACAGTTTGAATGTCATAAATGACCATTTTACCCTCAGTCTTTTTTTTTTTGTCTTGAGACGTGTCTATTTACTTCAAATTATGTTGTTTGTTTGTTTTCTTCACTATTCAAAACAACAAGTGTTATTAAAAATGATTGGACTGGGTTTGTTTTGACCTTCTGTAGCAGTCATAATAATGCACTTTTGGTTTGGTTCTGCCTGTTTCAAATGGAAGCAGCAGCCAAAAAAACTCGACAGAAAGTAGCATAGTAAGGAGATCGAACAGAAATGTAAAAATCGGACTTCTTGGTCGATTTATCCATTTGAAGAATCGAAGAGAAACGTAAAAAACCAGAATTCCAAGAAGAAACAAAATCATAGCACATAGGGGTTGTTCGTAAGCTGTTACAAAATCATAGCACATCAAAAGAAGAAACAAAATATTTCAAAACATGGAAGCACAGTGAGGAAATCAGAAACAGAAGCACAGTTAGGAATCGAACAGAAAGGCTCGACAGGAAGTAGCACAGTGAGGAAATCGAACAAAAACGTAAAAATCGGACTTCTTGGTCGATTTACCAGTTTGAATAATCAAAGCACAGTGAGCAGGAGTAATCGACGAGGAGAACATACATGTATGGAGAATGATGTAGCAGGAGCAATCCAAGCACAATGAGTAGGAGCAATCGACGAGCAGGAGCAGAAGTCGACGTCTCTATGGTGGTAGGGTTTAACGTGAGTAGTTGGGTTTAATGTGAGTAGTTGGGGAGTTTGTTGAATTCGCCATTGATTCTTACAGGAAGATATTGTTCTAGATGGTGAAAGGGACAAATTTTGAATAAGGGGATGAATAAATGGTTGAGTGATTGAGTCTATATGACCCTACTTTCCTGGCTGACCGATTAAGCCAGAAACGAACAACAATGTATGGCTGACCGAATAAGTCATACAAGTTTAACAACCTATTAAGCCATTACTGAACAACCCCTTACCCTCCTCGTCCTCTCTTTCTTCTCCGACAGAAACAAGACGAAAACAACTTAACAATCACAAGGATGAAAACACTCACCAATCACAAGGACGAGATGCTTCCATCTCGTAGCCTCCTTCATAAGTGGTTGGATCGAAGTTGTCTTCGGTGACCCAAAACATTTGGGTTTCATCCATGTGCGGTGAAACCCTCCTCCTCCATTCCCTTGAAGTCTATGTTTTTCTTGAATTTTGCTTAAAAATGAAGGGGGGGGGGGTGATATTTAAATGGTTTGGTTATAGATTACATGATTTTGCTGTTGTGCTTATGGTTTAAATCCATGGTTCTCGATCCACCATAGATGCTTAAGGAAGTTTTCTACTTCTGTGCCAAAAAGGTAGGGAGAAGGGGTTGAGGTGCAGGGAATGATAAGAAGGGTTGCAGTTGCAGGTAGTGGTGGAGGTCAATGATCGGAGACCGGAAGGGGGAGGGGTGCCAATGATGGACATAGGGTCAGAAAAGGTGCACAATTTTGTATATATTAATAAAAAAAATAGGCTTAATCATTTGATAACACCAAAATTTATGACGTACATCAGACCTTTTACCTTAAGTTTTTGTTTCACATAATTTTTCTCGTCTAAGTATAGTGTTTGATGTTTACATGTATTTGTTTCACAACATATTTATTTCATATGTATTTGGTTTATAATGTGAATCTTTTTTATGTGTTCATATTGTGAATCGAGTACATGTGAAACAAATACATTATAAAATAAATATACGTTAATCAATATTCTAAATCTTAGTCTTAAATGAAAGAAATCATATGAAATAACACATAATGCATAACTTCATGGGTTCTCGAGAAAATATTTCCTATAAAAGTATAAAATTAAACGAAAATAAGAAAATAGAGAGTAAAGGGAAGAAACTTTTTCTTAGCAATAGTTAACAATGATATATAAAAAGACATTTTTTAAGCATAATGTATTTTATAAAAACCATTTATATATTTATTAAAGGACATATATGGTTCTTACATATGTTTAGATGGATATAAACTAACTTATTGAAAAACTAGTTAAAGTAAGTTTTTGCAAGCTTATTACTATCAATTGCTATTTCTTATTATTATCAATAAATATTAATTTCAAATTATTTACCAATTAAAATTATTTATATATTTTAATTAGTAATTAAATTAAATTTCAATTTATTAATTAATTTTAATTATTAACTAATATTATTACCAAATTATTAATTAATCGTCATTAGTAATCAATATTAATTTTAACTATTAATTATTAATTAATTTTTAACTGTAAAAATTATTTTTATATTATTTTTGTTTAATATTTTTAGTGGTTAAAAAATAAATATGATAATTTTAATAATAACTTTGTAAACTCTTTTGTTTTATAATTTATGTTATTAATAAATTGTTGTAAATATATTATAAAATATTAGATTTTATTAATTTTAAGCAAATATTTTTAAATCATTTTATATTTTAATTAACTTATTAATTAAGTTTTATTAAATATATTTAATTTATCAATTAATTTACCAAACATAAGGTTAAGGATTTGTAGGTATTTGATTTTTATTAAAAAAATACTAAGGGATTTTTGACAGTTGTTGAATGGTTTGATGTAAAATGATTAAATTGTCAGAATGATTAAAAGACTCTTAAAATATAATGTAAAATAAAATATAATTGTTTGGTAATTATTTACAATAAAATTAGGATGTTAATTGGTTAATGGAGATACATGATACAAAATCATAAAAAAAAAATTAAAACTATTAACAGACTTTTTTTGACAGACAAAATTCACCTCTTAATAATTTAATAAATCTTTTAAAATAAAACTATTAATCGATAAAAAAGAGTCCCTAAGATTAAACAATTGCAAATTTTGTTACACAAAACAGTCGAGGGACGATTTTTATAATTTACTATCATTTACCTTTTCTCTGATATTCGGGCCGTTTTGTCTTCGGACCTTTACTACAACCAGCAATTCAGGTTACCACGGCGGCGCCACCACACCAGAGGCCTATTATGGCTTCGTTGATCCGCAGAGCCGCTTCAAGCCTCTGCTCCAACTCCAATAATCGTCACTTCTTTGCGCCTGCGGCAATTCGCATGGAGGACACCGGTTTATATGGATGCAATCATTTAAAAACCCCTAAAGGATTTCAGCGTATTGTAGATGAAGCCATTGAAAGGTAAAATAAAGTAAAATCAATGATTAATCAATATGGATGCAATCACTTGGAAACCCCAATAGACGTGTACTATTTTTGTTTTTGTTTATTCTTCACAGGTCTAATGAACTCGTTGGCTACATTTCTCGAATGCCGTCGTCTGCTGAAATCATTAACGCCATGGATGAAATATCAAACACAGTAAGGATTTTGGGAATTGCATACTCCCTCCGCCTCAAAAGAAAGCTAAATTTTCACTTTGGATATCAAACGGTTGTATAGAATAATATTAGCACTTAAATTTGCAACGCGATCCATAACAAAATTTCTTTTCTGTAAAGTACCATAAAAATGTGACATTCCTTTTTTTATGGAAAGGAGTATATGTTCGTTGTATAACCTGGTGATGCATGTAATGTTGAACATTTCAGGTATGTCAAGTTGTGGATTCTGCTGAACTTTGTAGGCATACACATCCAGACAGGTTTTTTTTTTCTTTCTTCCCATCAATGTGACTACATGTTAGTGTTGTTGGCATCGCTGTCCTTCTGTTAGTTTTTGATGATAATTGAGTTAGAATGCAGGGAATTTGTTGACGAAGCAGTGAAGGCATCAATGAGGATTAACGAATATCTACATGTGAGGTGACGAGTTACATAATTGGTTTTGTTTTGAGTTTTGCTAGATCAGTATTCAGTAGGGTTATTTGGACCATTTTAGTTATTAGGGTTGACTGCATGATATCAGAACACAATATTGTACACCTGTAATAACATGTCATCTGTATTAGAAATATTTCAATTTAATTTAATGTCATTTCTTCATATTATCAGCCATTTTCAATGATTATTGTGGTGTTCATGATCATTGGCATACAGTATCTCAATACAAATCTTACTCTATATGATGCGGTGCTAAAAGCAGACCAGGACCCTACTTTAACAAGTGAAGAAGCAAAAAGAGTTGCTCATGATCTGCGCATTGATTTTGAGAAGGGTGGAATTCATCTATGTGCAGGTTTTCTGGTTCACCCTGTTGTATAAGTACTATGCTTAGCATTGTATATTGACTAACTACAGATTGTTATATGACTTCACAGAAAAGAAAGATCGAGTGAGTCAGCTAAATGTTGAAATCGCAAAATGCTGTGCACAGTAAGTAGATGCCACACATCTGGTATTGCACTCCCTGTTTTATAGCACTGTTTTGAGGGGGTATTTCAACATACTCATATGATTGTTAATGGTGATTAATCATCTACAAAAGCTCACACAACCCTTTTTCTAGTACTGAGAAATTGGTCATAATTCCTTTCAGCGCTCAATGTTAACTTCATTGCCACTCGTATAACTTAATTCATGCCATGTCCTTTTATGCTATTTTTGAGTTTATCCATGTATTTCATTTTGAGTCAAGAGTTCTTGTAGGCTGTAGTTAGAAACTACTGAACTAGTATAGTTGTCCATGGAAGGGAGACCCCTACACTGACAGTGTGGCCTATTTAGACGGTTTTGTTGATACCTGAGGTTCAGTTTGTTAACAAGTTCAAAAATGAAAAAAAGATCTAATCAAACACATTTAACTTGGTGATTCAATTTTTTCATTAGGTACAATGAAAATATAGCAAAGGAGCCTGGGCATGTTGATGTATATCCAGCCTCATGTATTCCAAAGAACTTGCACCATCTTGTTAAGCCTGTTAATCGTTCCAGTTCAGCAGGTTCAAGAGTCAACTTCAGAGACAAAGGGTTCCGAATAGTAACAGAACCAAGCACTGTGTCTGCTGTTTTGCAATGGACATCTGATGATGAGGTTCGGTATAAGTACTTCCTACATCAATGTTCTCACTTATTATGGAGTCGAACATAGTTTGTGATGCATGAACTGGGAACTATAAAACCTAACAAGTTTAGAAAATGGGTGTTGGCGCTTTTCAGTTGAGTTGAATAGATTTTTTTTTCCTGAAAGATTGAAGGTTGATATAGAAAATAGACTCTAGCTGGTTTCATCTCTTTCGGCTTGGATGCTCATTTTTAAGTTCACCCCTCAAGATTAAATACCCCATCAGCATATTGAGTGATTAAACTTTTAAAACCATCATACTTGGGTTTTTGTTGCAACCAAAGGAAACACAACATTTTAGAAGACTGATTGATTTTGGACAAAAAGTTTCAAGTACAATGTTATTCTTGCATTTAGATTCCCACCACTTATCCAAAAAATTCATCACATATTGCACTGTTCTTTTTGTATTTTTGCAAGAATGGTAGTCTTGTTTACAGCAGAAAGTTATGTACGATTTTGAAAAAGCTAACCGCACTAGCATATTGCAAAAAATTTCTATTAACGATTCATGATTGACTGTACTTTTGTATAAGGTGACACTTTTTTTTGTTTGTATATTTCTTTCTCATCCAGGCTAGGAAAATGACATATATTCAGAGCAATTCCGTACCACATGCAAATCTTGGTGTTCTTGATAACCTAATTGCTGCACGTCATGAAATTGCTCAGGTTCTCCTTGTTACTTGTGTAGTTAGGAGAGTTCTTGTACACATTGTATCTAATACATAATGCAGCATCTAATGATATTACATGATCTATAAAATGTTTTTATTTTTGACTATATCCAGGGGAAACATGTTTGCAAGTGAGTTTCACCAAAAAAACATAGTACTTTATGGAATGCTCTCGTGCTCATTTGATGTTGTGTGTTTTCTATTCTGTCTGCTTACTTAACAGAAATGGTTAGCACGAAGAATATTTTAGCCCAGCATGGCTTTTACATTGCATCTCAGACATGTGATGTGTTAGTTACGCCAAGTGTATGTGTTCACTCCACAAATGTGCAAAACTCTTTTGACCAACTATTTTTTTGCCTCTTATATATGCATGCAGATAATGGGGTATAAATCATATGCTGGCTATGCTTTGCATTCAAATATGGCTTCATCACCAGATGTTGTATCATCCTTTTTAGTTGAGCTGAGTAAAAATGTACAGCCCAAGGCAGTTGAGGTACTATATCCTAAAAGGTTCTTCTAGTGATGGGTTCTAGTACACTATACTCCCGTCTGCCATTTCATACTTGTATTACTTCAATATGGTAGGAGTTTAAGTCAATCCGTGACTTCAAAAGAGGAAAAAGTGGCCAACATGATATAGAATTAGAGCCATGGGATGAAGCATATTTCACAAGGTCAATGAAATCATCTGCTTACAACTTAGACTTCTCGGTATTTATCTTTTGCTTTCATATTGTTAATCATTTTAATGCACTTAATGATGTTTTTGTGTTATCATTTATTCTTTCCCATTATTTACTCATCAAGTTTATGATATTGATACTTAGGTTGTGGCTTCATATTTTTCTCTGTCACAATGTATTGAGGGTCTTAAACTTCTGGTTGAGTCCTTGTTCGGTGTGAAATTTCTTAACATTCCCCTTACACCTGGTGAATCATGGCACCCAGATGTGATGAAGATGGCTCTTCATCATCCTGATGAGGTGAGCTTCTATTTTTGCATAGATTCTTGACCAGGGTAGTAATTTGAAGGTTCATTTTTTTTACACTACCACAAAATATTATGCTCATATCGTGATCTCAATACATGGACTACTTGTGGCTTCTATCATATTCAGACCAAACTTATTTATAACACATATTTTGTTCTTTTTTTTTCTTCTTACTAGAACACCGCTTTGCCTTTCAGGGAGATTTGGGGTATATATACCTTGATCTAAATTCTAGAAGGGGAAAATATCCTGGTTGCGCTCATTTTGCCATCAGGGGAGGGCGCAGGCTTTCCAAAACAGAATACCAGCTGCCAGTATGTCTTTCTTATACATCATGTCCATTAGTTTTTCTGTTCTCTCCATAGTCAAAAATATACGCTTGCAACATAAGCCACTTTTGATAGGATAACTAACGAGAGCTACCCATATGTATTTAAAAGAAAAGAAGAGAACGTAAAAATACAATCCTTTTGTTGCATTTTGACGATCCCCTTACCTCATTGATAAATAATGCTAAAGGAGAACCCGGACTGGGTACATTTTGTTGCATCTCTGTTATTGAACCTAGGCAAAATTGTTGTGGTTTACTTCATAGCGATGGATCACAGTGGGTCTCCCTGCATACTAGAAGAAAATTACTTCCCTGTAGGCAGTTGGTGTTTTATATGCTTGTGGAGGATAGTCTCTTTGGCAATCATAAGCGACACCACGGGAAAATCTTATTTAAAATAGACAAATATTGGTTGTCAAGAATCAAGAGTCCTTTGGGTTGAAACAACTCCCCAGCCAACTATTGACAAAACTTGACAGTTATCAAACAAAGACTGCTTTATGTTGCTTTGGTTAATGGGATGCCCGTAAGGAGAAGAATTACTGACTGGACGTTTTCTTGATTATTCTGCAGATCATAGCCCTCGTTTGCAACTTTTCAAAGCCACACAATTCAGCAACTGTGAGGCTTAACCACTCAGACGTAGATACACTTTTCCATGAATTTGGACATGCTCTTCATTCATTGCTTTCACGAACGGTATGAGCACTTTGATCTTAATTCCAAACTAATGGTGTCACTCTTGGAATATAATCCTCATTCCCAAATTTGCAGGATCATCAACATTTTTCAGGTACCAGAGTGGCTTTTGATATGGCTGAAACTCCTTCAAACCTTTTTGAGTGAGTACAAACTAGGCTGCTTGAACTTAGTGTCTGCCTTTTAGCCATTTCTTCATGATCTGTTCCTACACAATACTCGTTACGGCACAAAATTTTTATAAGTCCATATTCTCACATTCTTCAAAACGACTTGATAGCTCTAGGAATGGTGCAGGTTTATGTTGAGTCAAGTTATTTAATCGTAATCAACAACTTGATTGATCTTTCTTTTGATTTTGTCAACTGTTTAGGTACTATGCATGGGATTATCGAGTCCTGAAGAAATTTGCCAGGCATTACTCTACTGGTGATATCATTCCTGAGAAACTTGTTGAATCAATGCAAGGAGCCAGAAAGATGTTCTCAGCAATGGAATTGCAGCAGCAGGTCAAACTTTTATTGCATAATTTCTTTTTCTTCCCTTTGAAGGTGGTTCAAATGAAATCTTGCTTTGTGATATAAACCACAACTAATGAAACCGTAAAGAAAAGAAAGGAAAAAGAAAGGAGAACATGATTCCTGATTCTTACTTGTCCTTCAGATATTTTATGCATTAGCCGACCAAGCACTATATGGTGATCAGACGTATTCACCAATTGATACCACCTCAATTGTTGCGGATTTGAGGGAACAGCATACCAATTGGAAACACGTCGAGGGTACACATTGGCAAACCCGATTCAGTCACCTACTATATTACGGTGCAGGTACATTTCTTTTTGTCTAGAGTCTATGGCCATCACTGTTGAAGGAAGTCGTTAGCTGCCATCAATAGTCAAAACATCTTGTTCCGATACTACATTTTCTAATCTGGCCCATTTTCGATCTCTATTAATTTGAAAGCTGGTACACTGATAGAACGATTAAAGCATATTCATGGCGTGTTTCATTTCCCTCCCATTTTGAAGGCCAGTTTCAACCAATCAAATTGCTGTCGTGAGCAAGAATATACCCCTTCTTTTCTTCATTACAGTAATAGGATCTGCTCTACAGAATCCAGCAACTGAGCATCCATGAGAACCAAACAGGAGGAATGGGTTCTTTGGGTTCTTCAGTTTTCAATTGAAATATCTCTTGTAAACAGAAAACCAAACCAAACCAAACAAACCCAGTATATCCCGCTAGAAAGCAAAGTATGGGACTGGGAGGGGTGGGATGTGCACAATCCTGACCTCTATCCCCACATGGTAGAGTGGCTGTTCCCATGAAGGCCCCTGGCTTGTTCAAAAGTGTGAGCGATAAGGAAAAGACTCAGGACAAGAAAGATAAACAAGAATAACACATAATAAGCAGTAGAAAAAGCATAAAAAGCAAAAAAGGCACGAAGAGAACATATACAAAGTAAGAAAAACGCATAAATCTAATGCAGATCTCTGATACCCTAACTGTCAGCTTCCCGAAACTCATGCAAACCCTTGTAAACATGTTCTTGCATATTGCAATAACTTGCTCTATAACGAAACAGATTATAGTATGTTGTTAATTAAAAATTGGTGTAGGTTATTATAGCTACTTGTATGCCAAGTGCTTTGCGTCAACCATCTGGGAAAGAGTATGCAAAGACGACCCACTATCATTAGAGACAGGTAGTGCTATTAGAACGAAATTGCTGCAGCATGGGGGAGCCAAAGATCCTGCACAGTTGCTCAATGATCTTGCTGGAGATGGAATTATAAGGTATCAGAATGGAGGCATAGTTCCGGACATTACAAGCCTTTGTAATGAAATGAATTTGAGGAAGCGATAGGAAACATGTAAGAAAAAGAATCATCATACAAATACAAGCAGTTGAAGTAAGAGGGGCTGGCACTGGCAGAGTGCAAACAGCGATGTTAAAATACCGTTCTGCCCCTTTCCCCCCTCTCATTTTCTTTTTGCCAGAATAGAGCTGGCAAGAAAAGCGGGTCAGGTTCCAGAACCAGCTTCCCCTTTTCATCTGTAGTTTAAATTATGTTTATTGTAACAGTTAATAAGACAGATGGTTGTCTGTTATGTTGTGTAATTGCTACATGTGTGCTTGGTTCGATGAAAAGCTTTTATATATATATATATATATATAGGGTTGGGTTCACGTGACACCAAGGGTTTTTCGTGAGACCCGTAAGACCAATTTATGTTCATTGATCAACTTTATAAGTTAATGATCTAATGGTTTAAATTGCACGGTGGCAATTTTGTAATTATTGAGAAGTCTCGTCGTGTTTATGAATGTTTAGATCTGACGATTGTAAATTTAATCCAAGGGTTGAGAATTGGTTTTACCGGTCTCACGAAAAACCATTAGTCTCACATGATCCCAAGTCTATATATATATATATATATATATATATATATTATTTAAATTATTTAATTCACTATAAACAATTGGACTAGCAAATTTGAAAAATATTTCTTTATCTAATACTTTGGTGATTAAACCATCTTGATTGATTAAAAATGGGTATAATTGTGTAATAAATGGAGTACCTAATATTAACGTAGAAGTTAAATTTTTAACAAGTATTAAAGAGGTTTTRTAACAATATTCGTCGTTACAAATATGAACATTTGATACYTTRTATTGAATATTAAGTGABGAACMACTTGCAGTTGATAAACGATTTTTTGTTTTCTCATAATACTTTGTAGGTATAATTCCTTCTTGAATACAATTCATGTCTGTACCACTATCAATTAGTGCTAAAACAGTTACTTTGAATTCATTATTAATACAGAGATAAATATAAACATTCCATAAAATGGTGGGAAAAGCTTCCAACTGATCAAATGCAAAAAATGACTGTTCAAGGAGTTTCAGACTATTATTCAATTACTTTTGGAGTCCCAGCCTGAATTTCATCTACTTCAAATTAGAAGAAAGAAGACGAAGAAATTGATCAAATTTTAGCCACTGAATCAAAAGAAGAACTCAAGCGACTTCTTCAAGAACTTAGACGTCGGAGCTCTCCATCAAGCAGCTCTCCCGCTGGTTCTACGTCTCAAGTCCCAGCTTCTCAAAATTTATTTCAAGATAGTCAAGATCCTTATGAGGATTATTTTTAATCCTTAAGGTGTTGAGTGTGTTTGGGTATTACTTTTGTAAGCAATTCTTTGTATCTATTCAAAATATATCTTATCAAAACACGTGAAATACGCTATTTGGTATTTCCGATAACATCTTGTTCAAATCTTTTATCTTATAAAAAATATGCAGATTTATGATGCGGTCAACTGAATTTCAAGGTGATAATAATGTTCTTTGTCATTATAAAAGATGTTGTTGCTTTATGAAGAATAGACGTTATGGTCATGATTTATGCAAAGTATGAAGAATAGACGTTATGGTCAAGACATTATGGTCAAAAGCAKATTCGATATGTTGGATCCATTAAGACAACGACAAAATAGGACGATTGATTCAATTTGTCAGACAAATTCCAATTATTCAACATCAAGGCAAGGTGCCGGTTTCAAGCTCAAAAATTTTGGAAGATAACTGGAAGGTGCCAGTCGTTCAATTCCAAACTTCAACTATAAAAGACGGTATTTTTTCCATTCATATGGTTTAGGATTTTTCTTGAGTCTTTGATAAAGTGGTTTACAAATTATTCCTAAATCTTTGAAGTAATCATGAACATAATTTAAACATCCTAAAAATCTTTGTAATTGAGTTTTGTCTTTGATTTCATCTGGAAATTTATTAGCAAACTCTAGGCTTCTTTGAATAGGCTTTATAGTTTTATGAACAATTTCATGACCTAAAAACTTTATTTGGATTTGGAAAAGACTCATTTTTGATGCAGAGACAACTAAACCATTTTTATGAATTAAATTATAAAATAGATCTAAATGTTTAAAATGTTGATCAATAGATTTTGAAAAGATTAAAACATCGTCAATATAAACGATGGCAAAATCGCTTAAAGGATTAATAATATCATTCATAATATTTTGAAATTCGGATGGAGCATTTTTGAGACCAAATGGCATAACATTTCATTCATAATGACCAAAAGGAACATTAAAACCAGTTTTGTATTTGTCTTTTTCATGAATTTGAATTTGCCAAAATCCAGATTTCATGTCGAATTTTGAAAAGATTTATGCTTCATGCAATTTTTTGAGTAAATCTCTTTTATGTGGAATGGGATATCTAATCCATTCTAATACTTTGTTAAGGGGTTTATAATTTATTATAAGTCGAGGGGCACCTCTTTCTATTTCAGAGGCATTCATAATATAGAATGTTGAGCATGACCAAGGAGATTTAGAAGGTCTTATTAGTTTCTTTTGAAGTAGATCTTGAATTTCTGTTTTACAATGTTCTTGTAATTCAGAAGACATATGAATAGATCTTGATTTAGAAGA